AGAGAGAGAGAGAGAGAGACCCTATAGGGCAGAGTAGAATCTCCCCACACAACTGTTAAGGCTGTAATCTTTATGGAAGCTGACTATCATATCTTTCTCTCACAGAGCAGGTTGTAGGTTCCAATTGTTGACCTTTTTGTTAGCAGCTGAGGGTTTAACCACCATATCACTAGGGATCTCTCTCTATGTATATATATATATAGAGAGAGCCCTAGTGGTACAGTGGTTAAGGCATTCGACCACTAACCAGAAGGTTGGTCGTTCAAACCTACCAGCAGCTCCACAGAGGAAGATAGGGCAATTTACTTCCATAAATATATACCACCTTGGAAACCCAGTGTGGGTTGATATGAGTCAGAATCCAAGAGGATGAATTGTATATAGAATTGTATGGAACCCATACATGGTGCCAGCCTCCTCTTTGGCCATGACCTCTGTGCAGATGTGCAGGCAGAATTGAGCCAGCAAGCCCCTGTTCTAGGTTCCCAGCTCCTATGCACCCTGAAGTCTGCAGTTCAAAACTGCCGTGGGGTGGAGAGGAAAGAGGCATCAGAGAAGGTGTTTGGATGAAATGTGTGAGTTTTATGACATCCCAAAGTGAGCCTAACTGGGCCTGAAGCCTCTTCCTTGATGGGACTGGGTGCAATGAGGCTTCCAGTGCTCTCAAAGGAAGCTCCGAGCCTGGAGCCTCTGCACTTGCCAGGCCTAGGGGCCAGAACAGGCTCCAAGATCATGAACACAGGGTTTGCGTGGGCTCCGGGGCGAAGCTCTGACCCAGCACAGGAGGAAGGGGAAGTGGTCAAGGCTTTATCAGTCTTTGTCTCCTCCAAGCCTCCTCCACAGAGGAATAATCTGTAACTGGATTCATCGCATTGATGAGCACATCAGTAAACCTTGTTGCTGTTATTATTATTACCTTAGCTGTTATTATTTCTGTGATGATATTTTCTAAATAACAATAAAAACAATCAGACAAATGGATAGTCTGCAAATAGAAAAACAAAACTCCATCATGGCATAATACCAATTTTTACATATTGACTCCATCTTTGGAACTTACAGAAGTCAGTAAATAAGGAATATGACCAAAACCAACCAACTGCCATTGAGTCAATTCTGATTCATAATGACCCTATAAGATAGAGTAGAACAGTTCCATAGGGTTTCCAAGGCTGTAAATCTTTACTGAAGCAGACTGCCTCATTTTTCTCCCTTAGAGCAGCTGGTGGGTTCAATTTCCCAAACTTTTGGTTAGCAGCCCAATGCTTTAACCACAGTGTCACCAGAGCCTACACACACACACACACTCACTCACTTTCTCTCTCTCTTCCTCCCTCTCTCTCTCTCTCTTCCCCCTATATATCAACTTCAACAGTGATTCCTGACACAAAGTTACTTAATTACATGAATCATATGGGTGGGTTTCTGGGGCTACCCTTAATCCATCATATTAGATAGGCATTTGAATTCTAACCAGAAGGTTAGTGGTTCAAACCCACCAGCCACTCTGTGGAAGGAAAACTGGGCAATCTACTTCCATAAAGACTTACTGCCTCAGAAACCCAAAGGAAGCCCAAAAGGGGTTGCTATGAGTTGAGATTGATTTGATGGCAGTGAATTTTTTGTTGTTTTTTTAATTGCTGCATAACAATGCTACCACAAACTTAGTGACTAAGAAAACCATGCATTTGTTACCTCACAGAGTCTGTGGGATGGGACCCTGGGAACACCAGAACTAAGTCCTCTGCTTTAAGGCCTGTTGCAAGATTGCAGTTAGATGTTGGCCACGGTTGAAGTCTCATCTGAAGCTTGACTGGGGCAATATTTGCTCCAAGTTTATGAGGTTGTTGGCAGGTTTCTGTTCTTTTCTAGTGGTTGGCAAGATCCCACCCTGAGATCCTTGCCACATGGTCTCTCTTCATGAAATCCAGAAAAGGAGAGAGTCTGTGGAGAGTTTGCTAGTTGGACAGAAGCTACAGTCTTAGGAAACATGGTAATGAAAGTGATATTCCATCACCTTTATGTGTTCTGTTGGTCAGAGGCAAGCACAGATTCGACCTAAACTCAAGCAGAAGTGGGTAGGAATACCAGGAGGTGAGAATGACTAGGGAGTCATCAAAGAGTTCATCTGCTACACTTGTTAATTCAAGATGCTCTTTCTTTGGTTTTGTATTTTGTAACTTGTTCCTACCCTTCAGGCAATTCTTATGATTAGACAGATTTGGCAAGCACCAAACTAAGAAAAAGGTGAAAGCCAAAAGAAAAATAGATGCACATTTTGAGCCTTAATCTGAATTTAAGAGAAAGGGACTTGTGGATTTTGTAGCCTGTAACTGTTTATCAAATCACAGTAAGAAATACCCAGTGTAGTATCCAAAATGCATACCCCAAATAAAGGCATAACTTTATAAGGAACCATGAGATTAAGAAACGAGTGTAAAGAGCATTCCGTAGTTCACAGAATGGAGAGTTCATGATTGCAGAAGGTTTCATTATGCAGATATGGCTTTAACTGGACCTTAATGGATGGGTGGAATTTGGATAGAGGAGGCAAGGAAAGGTGGACGGGGCAGAATAAAAAGCGTACAAGTGTTGCTGAAGCAAGAGCTTGTGCTGAGATGTAGGAAGTGTCCATAATTATTTTGGAAGAGGAGAGAATCTGAGTCAGAGAACCCCATGAAATAACCATGGCCATGATCAATGTGTGAGTGCTCCACCCAGATGGGGCAAGTGGACCTCAAGAGAGAGGAATAGGTAGATCAAGGAGGACAATTGTTTTTAAGAATATGGTTTAAAAAGAACATATTTAACTAAGGAAAAGGAAGAAGAAAATAAGAATAATAATACATTCAATGCATAAGAATAGACCCAGAGATATTTGTGACCTATGTGAGGACAGGTTTAGAAGAGGACGGCAGCTCATATGCACCAACAGAACATACAATGAGACCCCCCACAGTTACATCTGACAAAGTAATAGAAAATATATGGATTAATGATTTTAAATGAAAGCTAGCTCATAAATTGGCTAAGTATAATGTCAGAATACAAATATTTTACAGGGACACTTGGTTTTGGTTTTGGAACACAGTAGCCTATCACGACTAATGGCATTCAAGTACCATATCCTCTAACACAGAGCATAAGTGGCACTATCAAATCATTGATTATTAATATTTGAGATACTAGCCAGATCACTGACAGTTATTCAGAAATGTTTATTTGCTTAGTTGAGAGGGACTAGGGGACAGAGTACATGGGAATTTTAGTATAATGGTAGAGGATATCATCCCAGCCCTTTTACCAACAAGCTGGGTCACCTTGGGTAATTCCATTGCTTCATCATCTGTGAAAGTAAGCAAGCAACACAGCCCCTGCCAACCTCACAGAGTTATTACAATAATAAAATATGATCATTTATTTTTATAACACTTCAAATGTGCACAGCATTTTATACTTTTCAATGGATATTTATTAGTTAGCATGAGCCAAAATAAATATTTCTTATTTTCATTATTGGACTACAATGAAAATTATGAAGACTTGTTATCTATGCTTTATATTTTTCATCATGCTTATACATTAGAGCAAACCAATAACCAGGATTTATTGGCAACAGAAAGACTACATTTTTAAATGTGGCTGATATTTTTCATTTCTAATGGCCTATTTCATTTTCAGATTCCATACATTCCAATATTATTTTTCTAATCCTTACAATATGAAAAAAATCATTACATGCACAACTTAATACTATAGTTTATAGGCTGTAAATATACAATAATCATTGCAAATTTTACTTGGGAAACACGGGAATTTGGAAGTGGAACCACAGCATGGAAGTAAGTACACTAAATAAAGTCATATTCATTTATCTATGCAGCTTACATCTTGTTTTATACCTTGGACAAGAACATACCAATTGATGATTGGATTATGGAAACAATCAGTGGCGATCGGCTAACTCATCAAATCATGGATCTCAACCTCGACTCCACGTATTACTTTCGGATTCAAGCACGAAATGCTAAAGGAGTTGGGCCCCTGTCTGATCCCATCCTCTTCAGGACTCTGAAAGGTTTGATTGACTCTTTCCTCTTGTTGCCTTGCTTTTCTGATGAGATTGTTATTAAACAGCTTTGGAGTCTATGTTAGAACCTGCCCTATGCCACCTCGGTTGGCGACAGTGGACATTCAAAGCAAATTTAAAATGCACCTATTTATGCTCAAAGCCAGCACGTCAAAGCAAGACCTGTTGTGTTATCACATTTTCTGTCATTAGCACAAGGCAAACACATTTCACTTGACTTTTTCCATTTCTCCAATTCTTTTGGAATTTTGTATCGATTTCTTGATTGGTTCCTTTCAAAATACAATGAAACCCTTCATCCATTTTATGTAAAGTAATAAGCATTAAAAAGCATTGAATTATGTGAATGGTTTGTTTTCTTTCAGGAAATTGCATCTTCATGTTTTAAAGGAAATTTTGATATGGAGAGACAGAAAATTTCAAATAAAATTTCAGTGTTTATTTTAAAGATCCAGGTTAGCAACAATGGAAGAAAAGAAATCTTAAAGTGTGATTGTTGTTGTTGTTGTTATGTGCCATCAAGTTGGACCCGACTCATAGCAACCCCTCCTTGGGTTTCCAAGGCAGTATCACTACAGAAGTAGATTGCCCCATCTTCCTTCCAGGGAGTGGCTGGTAGGTTTGAACCGCCAGCCTTCTGGTTAGCAGTCAAGTGCCTTAAGCACTACACTATCAGACCTCCTAAAGTGTAATTACTAGAAGAAAATTCCATAAGATCACAAGAATAAAAATAGCTACTCAACTTAAGGATAGTTCTATGTTCATTTAAAGGGAAAAACAAACAAACAAACAAACAACAAACTAAGGCCCAAGAGTAATTGATTATGTCAAAATAATCTTCATATAAGCCCTTATAAATTCAGAGCATAGTATCATTTTTCCAGAGGACAATTTTTTTTGTTTGTTTATTTGGGCTTTTTTTAAAAAATTATTATTTTTATTTTTATTGTGATTTGGGTGGAAGTTTACAGAGCAAATTCATTTCCCATACAGCAGTTAACATACATTTTGTCTCAAGACATTGACTGCAGTTTCCCACAATGCAACAGCTCTCTTCCCACTTCCTTGCCATAGTTACCTCTTCCCTGTGTCTTTCCCTCTCATGCACTTCTGCCCCCTGCGCTGTCTCCCTGTGCATACACAGCCCTTCTATTCTCCTATGATTGATCTTTCCAAGGAGTGTATCTACCTAATGTAAGCGTTCAGCTCAGATGCCTATCTTTTGTTTGGCTGGAGGCCACAGGAGTGGGTTCAATTCCAGACCTGAAGGGCAACTAGGGGCCAGAGTCTCAGGGATTCATCCAGGCTCTATCAGACCAGAAAACCTGGTCTTTTTGATTTTGAGTTTTCTTTCGCATTGTTCTCCCACTCTATCCAGGATCTCCTACATAGATCCCCTTCCAAGTGGTTGAGGATGAATGTTTTCAAGAGTCTCTATGATTTGGTAATGAAAGTAATTTGAATGTTCCATAGCTGGTATTTAAATATATATATTTAAGACATGATTTGTGTTATTCTAAAGAGGAATAACTTGGCTCTTAAATCTGTGACCACATTATGTCTATATACCAGGATGAAAAGTTGATCATGCATGAGGGCAAACCATTGAGAAATTAGAAACACATGGATGATTGACATGCTCTTTTCTTCATTTGACATCCTAAAGGAAAATTCATAGGAAAACTCTATGGTCTGTTTCTCAGTTCTCCTAGGAAAGATGTACTAATAAATAATGGTCTTTTGAATTCTGATGATGGAGCTATTTAGAAGAGTCAGAATCAACACGATGGCAGTGTATTTGTTTTTATTTTTTGGTTTCATAATCTGAAAGTCTGCCAAGGACGCACAAGCAAGTATTCAGTCTAAAACTTGACTGTTGTTGATGACAGAGTAGAAATTGGGAAAGGAGTGTGAGGAAATGAGCTAACTTAAATCTATCCAGGTTTTTAGGCCTTTGTGTCTAAATCAGGTTTCACTCCAAATGAGCAGTTGAAAGGAAACTGGTTATTCATTTATGTGGAAGCATGAAGTGTAACTAATGTTTTTCAAATGCTTCATCTTCATCTATAGATGAGTGCCAAATTAATTTCATGCTCACAGTGTGTGCCAACCAAGAGATCTCAGGGAAGGCTTACGATGACTGAAGACCTCCAAATGTGTTAAACAACAGAGTGATAAGTTATCACAGGATTTACAGGCTAAGATTGATGACCATACTGTCAATTATTTAATGAACTCAGTGTCTCATTTGGTACTGTTTACCCTAAATTCATCTGAGAAATGATTTGTAGAAGTGAGGAGAAATTCAGGAATTTGTTATATGTCATAATAGTCCAAAACAGTTCTTTCTACTACCATGATTTGAATGATTAATATCACCTACTCTGGTAGCATAGTGCCTAAGGCACTTGACTGCTCACCAGAAGGCTGACGGTTCAAACCCACCAGCCACTCCTCGGAAGGAAGGTTGGGCAATCCTACTTCTGTAGTGATACTGCCTCGGAAACCCAAGGAGGGATCGCTATGAGTCGGGGCCGACTCGATGGCAAAACAACAACAACAACAACTCTAAGTATATCATGCTCAGTAGTAGTCCATTGGATCTTTTTAACAAACTTTGCTCACATGGTAAAATAAGTTCCCGGTGTCTTGGTGCATTGTCACATACGCAGAAATATTGATATTTCCCATCATTATCAATAATCAACATTGTACAGGCATGCATCTTCCATGCCACTTACCATAACAAATATTCTAAGGTAAATAAATTACTCATCGCAGGAGATTTGAAGCAATAATGAACTAAATTTACATAAAGACATAAAATTATGCCTTTGCTCTCTAAGGTTTTTAGTTCCCAAGCTGTTTCAAAATATAAGTCCTCTTGTTCCTCAGGATGTAACTGTTTGACAGTCAGAAAGGCTTAGGTGTTGTCCTGAAGCTGAGGAAACTCCCAGTAGTCTACTGGGTAATGGGCAAGTGTTTCGTTGCAAATCATGCCCCAGGCAGTTGTCCACAAGCTTCATTCTTTCATATTCAGTCTTTGCAAAGATGACAGCATTAGCTACTAGTGTTTTATCTTTTTAGTATTAGCTATGAGAGGTACAGGAAACTCAATCTGTAACCACTTGGTAATGGAAAGGATATTTAGAATTAGAAAAAGATTATATTACTATATACTTAAGTACGTACATATATGTTGATGTATCTAATTCTTTCTTTGCAATGTTAATAAAAAAGAAGCTTGGATTTGATTCTAAGACTATGTGGGACTCTGTAAATACTCACTGCCCTCACTAAAATCTGCCCCAGGCTTGCATTAGGCTACTACCCACACACTATTGCACCATGTATAAGAGGCAAGTCTATCTATCACCTGAGTTGTTCCCTCAATAAAGCAGGCTTCTCTGTGTTGACCTATCCAGTAATAGGGAGAAAGAATGTTCCCGATAGAGTAGACCACAGAGATCGCTGTAGGGGAAGGGAGTCATCTCCTACATCAAAAATGCAGAGTCCTAAGCTGTAAAAGATCCACAAAATATGGTCTATTATCTGGCTGCCCTTAATTGTCCTTCTGAAATGTGCATTTTCCCCATCCAAGGACAGAGCACTGAAATCTCTATTACAGCATTCAGAGAAGGTTTCATCTTCAAATTAATTTGTGACAAAATGCATGATTTCCTCAACAAATTATCGAAACCATTATTCAACTTTAATATAATATGACTATTAGAATACATTTAGTCTCTGTTTGGAAATACTCTCAAGAAGGATAACCTTTCTTGAGACGTTTAACATTTCTTGAGTTATGTATAGTCCAACTTTGCTAACAATAAACAAATCCAAAACATAAGAATAAAGATGAGGTTATCCACTCTAACATGTATTTGTTTGTCACTGGCTGAAAATTTCTTAGACTGTGCACAATGTATGGTATATCATTACAGACAAATGGAGACATGAAGAATGGTGCTGAGCTGAGATTGGCTTTCTTTCTCTTCTTGACATCGCCTGAACAGTTGTCCCCTAAAGATGACATACTGATTAGGGTGGTTTCTCTAGTGTGTCTTCTTGTAGCTGCCCAACTTTGAACTTCATGGAAAACTTAGTCAGGCAGGATCCTGAGATATCATTCCTCATTCTTGCTGGAGACCTGGAAGGCAGTTCCTATAGCCTAGTGTCCATCCTCAACACCCCCATTAGGATCTCAGTTGCAAACCCTACCCCTGTCCGTAAACTACATATAATGCAGTTACCTGTCAGAAGCACTTTTCATCACCACTCCCATGCTATAATAAATTGTACTTTGAGAAGTAATGAGTCTTCAGTGGAAAAGGGCAGAGACAATCAAGAAAAAGTTAAATTGTTATGATTCAGTTAAACTAATTAGATTATGTGGTGATTTCAAAAAATATAAATGTTGAGATTTCTTATAAAACTGAAGTTTATAGAATCTTGTTATTAAATACACATACTTTTTACAGTGAGCATTTCAGAATTCAAAAGTCCACTACTTACTAAGATGTCTTTTCTAGTTTTTCCTTTTCATAGAATCTGTTTGCATATGTTTTTAAAATGAAAGAAATTCATTGATCGCTCGTTTTAAAATCTGTCCTCAAAATCTATTCTGTGATGTAACAGACATAGCCCTCCCTGTTCATCTGAAAGGGGCTTTTGCTAACACCATTATGACTTAAATATTTTAATTCTGTACATTCTTATTTGATAATGATTTGTGTTCCTTCTTTAGAATGAGAGGACCACTACCCGTAGGACATTTAAGTTATTTTATACATAACAGTGATGACTTTGCTATATAATAATAGAGAAGACCATGCATAATTAGAGAACCAACTTTTTAAAAGGTGCAGTACATGAGCATCCTGTTATATTTTTCTGTGAAAAGTGTGAACTTAACTAGAATATATGCAAGAAGCAAATAGGCAAAGGTAATATCCTAAGTATCAAGACTGAGTTCAATTAACCGAGTTAAATATGCCTAGAAGACTCAAAGCTCAAAAACAGTAAAAAACAAACAACAACAAGCATTACCATGAAATCAGTACCAACTCATAGCGACCCTAAGTGACAGAGGAGAACTGCCCCATAGGGTTTCCAAGGCTTTAATCTTTAGGGAGCTCTGATAGCATAGTGGCTAAAGCACTTGACTGCTAACCAGAAGGCTGGCGGTTCAAACCCACTAGCCACTCCTCGGAAGGAAGGCTGGGCAATCTACTTCCGTAGTGATACTGCCTCGGAAACCCAAGGAGGGGTCGCTATGAGTCGGGGTCGACTCGACGGCACATAA